AGAGAGAGAGAGAGAGAAAAGATAGAGAAAGAGAGAGAGAGACAGAGAGAGAGACAGAGAGAGACAGAGAGAGACAGAGAGAGAGACAGAGAGAGTAATTAAGTTTCTTCTTTTCAACAGGTGGTTGCGGCCAACAATTCAGGCAGGCCCAACAGAGCCGCGTCAGAGAAGCTGAGGCTATCACTGCTGAAGAGAGAGGAGGACTACCACCACCATCGCATTACCAACCACATGAACTACGCCACCATGGTGCTGGTTTTCCTCATCACAGTTATCAACATGTTCATCACGGGATTCGGCATCAAGCTGGACGGGGAGACCACCACAGTAGCAGGGGCGATTCCAGGCAAAGCTGTCAATTCTTCGTAACTTCAGATAGCTGTTCTTTGATTTACTGTTCTTACTGATTGATACGATTATAAATTCTGTATTTTTATATCTTTATTGGCAACACAATCCATGGAACACCACAGCGAAATCAGCAAACCTGCACTCATAAACTACTCGTATAATATGGCACTGGGCAAAGGACAAAAGCCCGGCTATTCCTGGGTGGATAACAACAGCGACAATAACAACGAGAACAATAAAAAGAACAATGACAACAACAACAACAGCAACAACAGCAACAATAGCAACAACAACAACAATAACAACAACAATAACAACAACAACAAAAACATGATCTTATTAGAACCACTGATTATGAGTGTGGTACAGGGTGTCTAAAAAAAAGAAGACACGCCTAAAATGCAATAATTCTGCAAATCTGCACTAATTTTTTTTTTAAATCGAATAAATAAAATTCAACCATGGGGACGTAAAATTTGTACATTTGAAGAAATTCTATTAACATGTTCAAGGAATATCAAGTTTGAAAAATTTCAACCATAATTGGAAACAACGCAAAATGTTACCTCTTAAAAACGTTCAGCTACAAGGGCATGATAGGCCCATACTGCTTTCAGGACAAGAGATCTTGCTCCGGCGCGATGGAACCATACGGCACACGCCATAAATGGCCCTTGTATGGTTGCAAGGAAGATTTAGAAAACTCCTCATAAGCCGAAAGTTTACAAATGATTGGCCACCACATCCACTCTCCCGCCCCCCTCCCTTTTCAACTTGAGCCTCTTCTATTATTACTTTTGGGTTTTTTGACAACAGAGTCTACAGAGAGGATACACAAACAATAAAACAGTTGAAACGCAATGTTGAACAGGACGTCCAAAGAATCGACCCAGAAAACTGTTAGAGGGTTATTCAAAATTTTCAGTGGCATTATATTGGTGCTTGTATGGAGAGAACTAGTCAACACCTGCTGGAGATTTGAAAAGCCATTGAAGCTCTGGCAATATCAATTTTGTATAAAGCTGCTATTCATTGCACAAATTATATAGTGAGTGACTATTTGAAATAGAATTAAGATTGATTTTTGAGGACTTGCAAGTTTTGTCTTTCACCAAATTTTGATTGAAATTTTAAAAACTTGACATTTTTCGAACATGCTGGCTATTTTTTAAAAATGTTGACCAATGTAACTTTATTTCTTCGAAGTTTTATTGAAAATGGCTCAAAGATAACCGAGTTTCTACCCTTTAAATGGGTCCTTTTTTAAAAGATCCTCGATATATCAAATGAACTAAATGCCCTTAAACCGGTTGGTAACGGATGATCTGCTGCTTTTGCTATGGAAATCTTCTGGAATCTTCCTTTTACAACGCTATTGTTGTCGAGATCTTTTACCTGGGGAGACGGGGCCGCTATCTTGCCAACTGTAAGCGAATTAAAGCCTACAGTTCTACTGACTGAACTAAACCTAAGTATTTTAATGTTGCCCCGGTATTCTGTGGTTTTGCTCGTACAAAAGGGTCTGTGATAAAATGTGTGAAGTTATTAATTATGCAATGCGTTATGGACAATCAGGGATACTAATGAGGCTGAGTCGTGAAATTATATAAACGTATTACAGAATCCAGATGTGCATTCGTCCTTCTATTTTATTCATAGATTCTCCATTTCTTTCTTTTTAATATTTTTTATTGTTCCTCCCTTTATTTTTCTTTCGTTTCAACTCAATCTTTGTTTTCTACGCCTTACTTTCCTTTCCAACTCTTTTTTCTGTCGGATGTCGCAGACACCGTTTGTATCTTTTATTCATTTCCTTTAGTTTCTTCTTTTTTCCATCTCGATATTTTCTTTACTTTTTTCTGTTCCTTTTTATCTTTTTCAACATTTATTATGGCTGTCCAGTTTTTATTACAGAATAACGTTGATCAGAATCTTTTTATTTGTTTGTGATAATCAGAGGTGTTTACACTATTGATCACCACCTTCATCATTATCATCATCATCATCATCATCATCATCATCATCATCATCATCATCATCATCATCATCATCATCATCATCATCAACATCATCTTCATCATCAACGTTTCTTCTTCCTTCCCCTCTTTTTCCTATCCCTCTTCTTGGTTGACCTCATCTTCCTTCCCCTCTTCGTCCTTTCCCTTTCCCTCATTCATCTCTGCCACCACCCGTCATCATCATCTTTGCGATCATCTTCTCCATGTTTGTCTCAATCTATTGCATTAGGCTGCGATTCTTTGCAAACTCATGTTTTGTAAAGTAAAAAGTTGACTTTAAGTTGATGCATTACCAAGACCATTGCCCACCTGATTCCCCCCCCCCCCTTGCGCCATTGTTTTGAAGCCAGATTTTTACTTCTCCTTCCCGTGTCCTAACTGTTTATATGATATACAATGAAAAGGTCTATGTACTGTCTTAATAATCATCAAAAGATGAACTTTTTTACCGTGCATGGGATTTCGTTTACAAAATGGTCCTTGTATATATGACATTCGTTGTGCGTTTATGTAAAATGTGTTTACCCCCTTGTGAATCCTTTAAAAAAATTCTACGCCAGGAAATGTCGTTTTATAAAATTTCTTTTCTTGGTTTGCACCCTGTAAACAATTTACTATTCACACAACCTTTGGATTCTTAAACTTTTTTAAAATGTAACAATAAAAGACTATGCAGTGTTTAACAACAATAGAGATTGCCACGAAGCGGTAGCAATGAATTACAGAAATTCATCTTTTTTTAAAGGGTGGGTGATTAGTGGGAGTTGCGGAAAGTTATTGTCCTATTTTTTTCGTTTCAGAGTTGTTATCAATTTTACACTGTGGCCACCGACGTACTGACTCGCCTCAAACTACAACTTAACAAAGACAATACGATTTCTGCTTATCCAAGTACATTTCATCTCCAATATATTACTTTGCCAGTTTTTCCCCTTTTGGGAATGATTAAAAAAACAACAGTTTGACCTCTTCCTGTTCTGTTGGTTGTAAACGGCACCCGAGTGTCAGTATTATACTCACTTCTGTTCTCATTTATTGCGGAAACATGTCAATGATTTAATATGTATACTTTGTGTCTAAAAATAAAGAAAGAAAGAAAATACTACAACTACTAAACTACTAATAATAATAAAGGGAAGCAATGCTGTATATATTTTATTTTTATATTTTCTAAATGTGCCTCCCTTTACGTAAACATAATATTTTTAAACAAGATGATGATAAGCATGCAGTTTGTCGCTGAATTTTTTTGTATGTTGCTGTTGTCCAAATTTGTATTGTTGAGCATTTGGG